ACAAAGTCCTGGCTTAGTGTTAATGGGCTCGGAAGGGTGATAAACGGTTAAGGCTAGTGAGTCGTTGGGTGCGGTAGAGGTTGAGGGTTTAGGCTGAGAAGATGTAGATGGTTTAGAGCTTGTGGAGGATGGAATGATGGATTGAGATGTGGTTAGCTCACAAGCACGTTGCCTTTTCTCCCCCTCACGATGATCCGAATCATCGGTGTCATCATGTTTACGTTTAGGCAAGCGTTCTTGATCACGACAAGTGGTGGATGGAATGAATGGATGGGTGAGGGCTAGGATGTTTCGTACTTGAATGAGGTGAGGTGGGAGGATGGGTTCGGATAGGAGTCTATCAAGGAAGTACTCGGATAAATCAAGAATGTTCATTTGTTTTGGGTCAGGGTGAGAGGTAGATGGTGTGGATATGATGGAGGTGAATGTGATGGTGGATGGAAGAGTTCCTATGCAGGGAGTTGGTGTGATCCTTGGTCTGCTACGCCTGTTGGGACTACAGGACGTAGGTCTTGTAAAAGTGAAAGCTTGAAGGCTAGAAGTTCAAACCTTAGATCCTCCCTAGTTAAACTAGCAAAGGAAGAGAAACATGTGCTATCAGTTCTCACAGCATCACTAAGAATAGCGGTGCCATGGCCTGCTGGGGAGATCAGTGTGGCAGGACTTCCAACCATCATTGGCGTACCTCTGGTTGTTATGACAGGTGGTAAAGAGCCTGTATCAGTGTGAAAAGAAGAAGAAGGTTGTGCCCTAGAAAATGATAAAAATTCTGGGAATGTGGACACATGACTTAATGTGCATTGGGTAGCAGTGTGGGGCGGTTCACTGATGGGTTCCCCTTGTTGGATTGAAATAACCCTCTGTTGGGAGACGGTTGAGTGGTCTAGGCTTGGCTCATTTTGCGTTATTGAACTCAATGTAGCGACTTCTACTCGAGAACTGACAATGTCAGAACCTGTACCTATGGGCTGAGTTCGGTGTATTTCAGTGACTGGTGGTGATGTAATAATTAAAGCACTAGAGGAGGAGACATCAGCTCTCTTGGACTGAGTCTCACCTGCCCTCTTTTTGGTCTTAGTCACTCTCGGACCCTTACTTCCACTCGGTTTTGATTTCCCTTGGGTAGACACAGTGGGGTTTGGCTGTGTCGTAGGGATAGAAGAGATATTAACCTTGTATTCAGCGACGTGCGGATCATTTGGAGCAGCATGGTTGAGAAGAGCATCAGGAATTTGCATGGGCTGCATCTCAGGAGTGTTCTCAGAGTTCTTGAAGTGAATGAGTTGAGGAATGATTTGCAGCTCTGTTTGTGGCCTTTGTGGAATGTTGGCATCTTCTTTCATGAAGTGGTCGATCAGAATTGAGAACCAACGTACATATGGGATGTACTTGGTCTTCTTGTTTGATGCCCTTGTGCTCAGTTGCTCTAAGATTTCAAGCCATATCAGCTGTGCCCAGTCATAATTCTTTGAAAACATCACACCATGGACCATCTTTAGAATGTGAATGTTGCATTGGTCATGGCGTGTTTGCTTGGATGAGAGGCACTTGTTTAGAATGGCAAAGAGAGTTTTCCACGGCCTTGGTAGTTTGCTACTGATGAATTGAGAAGATGAGATCAATGGAGGTAGATGGCCTATTTTCAGCATGTCAGAGAAGATTGTAGGTGGCTCAGGGAACGGGTTGTATTCAGATGATATGGGTAGGTGAAGGAGGGTACGGAATGTGTTTTGGGTGATGATGACGGTGGAGTTGGCTAGTGTGGCTTGGAGAGTGGGTGTGGGATTGTCAGTGGTATGCATGGTACCCCAGAGCTGTCTCAGGTAGATTTTCGGGGCTTTGACATACAATGTGAGTGCTGGCCACAGAGGATGCCCTTTGAGTATTGAGATCATCACTTTGTCTTGACATTTGAGCACAGTTGGATCCAACAAATAGTTGTTGTCTTTGATATCGATCCAACTTTCCATAGGGTACACTTCCTCCTCAAATTGAAAAGACATTATGCCTGAAGTACACAGATGAAAACATTTAACGTTAGAAAGCAGTTGGTTATGGGCTTGGTTAATTGGGCTTGGTTTTGGTTATCGGGCTTGGACTTGGTTTGAAGTAAATGAAAGGGAATTCGGGTAGAGGGATTTCGGTAGCCCTTTTGTAGGATTTCGGATAAAGGGATTTTGGGTGAAGTGTTTTTGGGTAAGGAGTTTAAGATTTCGGGTGTAGAGAACTTCGGTTAGGGATCTCGGCTAATGATTTCGGTACCCCCGTTTTTAAGACTTCGGAAGGGTAATTTCGGGGGTCCACTTAGAGGAATTCAGATTATGAGTTTGGATGTCCGAGATTTGGGATTTCGAGTGAGGGAATATCTCGGAAAGAGGATTTCGGCTATGGTTTGATTTCCGAGATTGTGATGATGATGATTTGGGCTAAACAGAATTGAAAGGTTTATGGTTATGGAGGTTTGATATTTTGGTTCTGAGATTCTTTGGTCTGATGGATTGTCAATGGAATGGTGGTGGATGATGGAAAGGAGAGAGGGTTCGCCGGTGTTAGTGGGATTTACGACGGCGAGGGGTGGTTTCCGGTGGGCTGGGCCGGTTCCCTCGTCGTTGTTTAAGAAGATACCTGCAACATTAAACATATGTAAACCATGGTAAAGAAAAGAAGTTAAACCTTGAGAATTTTGAGAGATGATGGTCGAAGAAGATGAGGAAAAAATTGAGAACTTGAGTGCTTTAGAGAGATGTACGAGCAAGAGGAAGTGAACAAAAAAATCCAACCGTTTCTTTCTTAAGTAACCGCGAAAAGAAAAGAGAAAATCTTTTTTTTTTTTGCTTTATCTTATTTTTGGAAACTGACTCAATTTAACTGACAAAAAAATACTAAACAGACTAAAATAAAAACAAAAAAATATTTTTGTGATTTTCTAATTTATGAACAAAAAATTACGGATACTAAAAGAAATTAAAATACTCCCCCTCAATTATAGCACTCAGACCAGACTAATTTTGCTCCCCCTCAATGTTTTCACATTTTAGGGAAACAGACTGACAGATCAAGAAACTGACTCAATAAAATTAAAAACTGACACAAAAAAAAATTAAAAAAAACAAACTTAAACTAAAAACTCCCCCTATACTTGTGCACGGTATTAAAATTCCAAATTCAACATTCCCAGTTTAGAGACCAGGAACTGAAATCTTTTCTCGTCCAGAGCTTTTGTGAATAGATCAGCCAATTGCAGCTCAGTGCACACAAAGTATAGGTCCACATGACCTTTTTCAATATGATCTTTGATGAAATGAAATCTCAGGTCAATGTGCTTAGTGCGAGAATGATGAACCGGATTGCAAGAGATAGCAATCGCACTTTTTGAGTCACTGTATATCGGAATGTGGTCAAAGTAGAATCCAAAATCGCGTAGTTGAGTCCTCATCCATAGTACTTGTGAACAACAACTAGCAGCACCAACATATTCAGCCTCTGCCGTAGATGTAGACACACAATTTTGCTTCTTTGAGGACCAACAGACCAGCTTTTCTCCAAGAAATTGAGCACTACCAGAAGTACTCTTTCTATCCATTTTACATCCAGCGAAATCCGCATCCACTAGTGAAAAAACGCCAAACAGAGGCACTTCATTTGAGGCGCTTATATATACAAGCGCCTCTATTGATTGTATGATTTTAATTTTTAATTTTTTTCGCATCCGTGCGGCGCTTGTTTTGTCCGAAGCGCCTCCAAACTTATTTCCGCTCTCAATTTTATTTTACAATTTGGGACACGTGCGGCACTTCTACGGAAGAAGCGCCTCCAAACCTTTTTTTAATTTTTTCGGATCATCACGCGTGCGGCACTTCACGGACCAAGCGCCTGCGATTAAAAACAATTACTGCGTGTGGCGCTTCTAAGTTCTATCATCTAGGTGGTATCAAATAAGCTCCTCCTACGCTTTTCAATCTGCTAACCCTAGCGCTCGATCAAAACGATCGAATACGATTGTAAGTCCAACCCTTGACGTGGCGACCGGACGGAAACTCTAGCCTCGCCGCCCGATGCTCTGCTTGCCGCTGACTTCTGCGCCGCTGTCCACTGGGCTCCTAGCCACTGCCGCCTAGCGCTCTGCTTGCCGTCGCCGACGAGTTTCTTTGTCGTCGGGTGTGTGTGTCGCCGCCGCTATGGATTCCAACTGCCTTCGAGAGCTCTCGGACGTTGGTAGATGTCAAGGCCGCACACTTAAGGTCAATGTATTTTTATTTAATTTTTTCGCATATTTTACTTTTTATATTACTTTTTTGGCATTTTTATGATTTTTTTAGCTATAAAGTAAGTATAATAATGTGAATGTGTTTATTTTCCGATCAACCGGTTCACATCAAATTGTTGGTTGTAATATGAGTGTTTTACGCTTATGTTGTTTTTATACTAAAATAAATGAAACAATTTAGTAGAACCCTAACTTTTTTTGTTTGTTTGCACAAATATGCCAAATATGTTGCTCTGAGGTGGAATTTTGGATTGGTTGTGAGAGGTGCTGCTTGTAACATGATTACCATTCGTAATGGGTCTGGTAAAGTATTATATCTTCCATATAATACTAGTGTTTTGTAAAGTATCTGGTTGGTAATGCTCATATCCACTTATATATAAAGCGCGGAAGACAGTTATCTTGGGCATTTTTACGTTTTGCCGTAAGTGCTGAATCTTTTGCTACCTCTGTTGAAAACTCAAATGAAGAAGAGGGCACTTCAATGCCCTTTCTTGTGAGTTGTGAGTGCACATATTGTAAATTTTCTTGTGAGTGCTCAAGAGCATTTTTAATGTAAGCTAATCTGAGTTGTTTTTTGAATGTAACTTTAACTTTTGAATGTGCTCTAATGTCATTCATTCTTAAAGCTATGTTGAGTTACATCCCAAACAAATTTCACTTTATCGCCCTTCTATCTATCAAGAACTTCAAGAATGTGTCTAAACACTAATTGTATTATTAAAGGGGGTGTTTGGAACCACTTTTAGAAACTGATTCTGCTGTTCCAAGGAGCACTTTGAAGCAGAATCAGTTTTGAAGGTGTTTGGATCTGCTTTTAAAAGTGATTTTAAAATGGCTCAAAAATCAGATTTTTAGAATCTGGGTAGTAGCAGCTTCTCCAGTGATTCTGATTCTTTTAATTTTTAGAATCCGGAAACCCTCCCTAAAAAAACGACGCACACCTGCGTCGGGCAAGAACTAGGGCAAGGACAGGCCAGAGCTCTTCCCACCTGCGCTGCCCAAGAGCTTCTTCTCCGCCGATTCTGCTGATCTTCTCTTCTCCATTCCACAGCCCAGGTAAACCAGTGAGCTCTTCTCTGGAGTTGTGGATTTTTCTATTCTCCTTTATGTATATCAATTAATACCTTTATCCCATCATTGTGTGTTTGGTGCTTCACTTTTATGCAATTAATTTCTTTTGGTTAGTCATATGCTTGTGATTTTCACCATTAACGGTTGAGATATGCTTGAGTTTTTTTTTTTAATTAGGTCACCATTTTAAAGTTCATTTTGGGTAATTCTTGCTTAGAATCTGTTCACAAGCTTCTTACTTTTGCTTGATCATGCAAGAAAAACCTTACTTTTTTCACTTTTTATGATCTCTTTTGATAAATTCATATTGCTAACAAGATTTAATCGGGTTTGGAGTATGAAATTGTGAATCAAGTTTGCTAATAGTATGTTAAATTCAGGTATGGCATCTCACAAAGTTAGTACTTTTGATGACGAAGGGAAACAAAAAAATGATTCCAAAAAATTTCATTGGGACCATGCAACCCATATGACCTTCATTGATGTATGTCTTGTTGAAGTGCGAAATGGTAATAGGCCCGGTAGCCATTTTAATAGGTTGGGCTGGAAAAACTTGATTGATAACATGAAAAAACATACAAATATAACATTTAACAAAATGCAACTTAAGAATCATTGGGATAAGATGAAGAAAGAATGGAAAGCTTATGATAAGCTAATGAGGAAAGAATCTGGCCTTGGATGGGATCCGGTTACGAAGAGCATTGATGCTACACCAGATTGGTGGGCACCAGTAATACAGGTAATTATTAGTTTAAATGAGCAACTCTTTTATTTATTATTTTCTATAGTGCAGCTAAAGTAATTTCAATTTTTAATGATTGTAGCTACATATGAAGTATTTTAGTGCAGCTATACGAACTTCCAGTTTTCAAAGTCTGCTATTAACTGCAGTTTGTACAATTTCCAGTTTTAAAAAACTGTTTTCCAATTCTGTTTTTAAAGTGCAGTTATTATAAAGTTCCAGTTTTGAGAAAACTGTTTGGAAGTTCTGTTTTTAGAGTGCAGTTTTTACGAAGTTCCAGTTTTTAAAAACCGTTTTCAAATTCTGTTTTTAAAGTGCAGTTTTTATAAAGTTCCAGTTTTTAAAAACTGTTTTCAAGTTCTGTTTTTAAAACAGTCAGGTAGAATGCCAAACGCTTCCATTTCTTTCATCACCTTTACTGCTTGGGAAATATTTCCAGCTTTGCAAAAACCATTAATAAGTGAATTGTAAGTGTAAATATTCTTTGAAGAGATGAGGAGTAATAAGCTGGAAAGTTTTTTTTTTGAAGAGATGAGGAAAGAAGGGTTGCTTCCACACAAAAGGGTCGAGGCAAATCAATTAGGTGGCATGACATCAAGGTAAAATGAATCATATATCTACTCGTATTTATATTATTTATGCTTTAATTAAAAAAGAGTTATTTAAAAGAATTATAAGTGTGCACTGAGAATTATTATTATGTAATAATATTGTATATTTTTCATCAATTTAAAGTGCACAAGGCAAACGGGTAATAGAGAACGTTGGTATTATGCCATGAAGTTTATGTGAGAAGTAATATCTTATGTTGGAAGTTCAGATATTGGACATATATTTTATTTATATACTTCAACAAGTGGATTTCATCATATAACTTAGTTATATATAATTTAGTTTAATATTATCCATTTTATTTATGTTGTTTATGAATGCTTTCAGGTTTGATAAAATCAGAAATGTATGGGCAAGGTTTTTTGTAGATGAAGATATGAATATGTAGGATTTTTAGACATTTGAAGATTTTAATGTAATTTCTTTTAATTGTAATGGAATATTTGAACTTTTATGGAGTTGATTGCTAAATGAAACAATTTGTACGTTTAATATGGAGTTTACGAATGAATGGTCATGTAAATATCTTTTAAGTGTTTTTTAAATAAAACAGGATATATGATAATTGCAAAATCTGCATTAAAAAAAATGAAATTAGAGGTGCTTCTATGAAAAAAGCGCCTCTAATGTGTGATTTCTAAACATTATATTTCGGAGGCGCTTTTAACCTTTAAAGTGCCTCTAATGTGTGATTTCCAACCAATTCGGAGGCGCTTTTAACCTCAAAAGCGCCGCAAATAATGCTGGAAGATACCACGCGTGCGACGCTTATACTAAAAAAAGCGCCGCAAATAGTCGAAATAAAAAATTAAATTTAAAAATATTAGAGGCGCTTCTGGCAAAAAAGCGCCTCCGATAGAGCATTTGCGGCGGATAAATCGGAGGCGCTTCGAAGCGCCGCACGCGCCTCTTCAGAAGCGCGTCTAATGGCCGTTTTTCCACCAGTGATCAGTGAATGCTATCAGATCAAATGCAGTCTCCTTAGGATACCAGAGTCCTAGATTAGGAGTTCCTTTCAAATAACGAAGAATCCTTTTCACAACAAGCATATGAGATTCCTTTGGATTTGCTTGAAAGCGAGCACAGAGACAAGTAGCAAACATAATATCAGGTCGACTCAAGGTCAGATACAGCAACGAACCAATCATTCCCCTATAAGAGGTAACACCAACAGGCTTTCCCGATGGATCAGTATCAAGTTCACAGGCAGGAGTCATCGGGGTTTTCACAGGGGTGCTGTTCTCTTGACCGTATCTCTTTAGCAAATCATGAATGTATTTGGACTGATGAATGAAAATTCCGTCGGGCAATTGTTTAACTTGTAGTCCAAGAAAGAAATTCATTTCGCCCATCATGCTCATTTCGAACCTAGATTGCATCAGACTTCCAAACGCAGTGCATAGTGTCGGATCAGTGGAACCAAAAATGATGTCGTCAACACAGATCTGAACCAAGATGATGTCGGACCCATGACGCTTGATAAAGAGAGTAGTATCAATTGTTCCTTTTGAAAAGCCAGAATCAACCAGGAAATCAGATAGTTCCTCATACCAAGCTCTCGAGGCTTGTTTGAGTCCATACAAAGCTTTATCCAGAAGATAAACGTGATTTGGATATTTCTTACTGATGCAGCCTTCTGGTTGATCCACATAAACTTCTTCTTTCAAGATCCCGTTCAAGAATGATGTTTTGACGTCCATTTGATAAATGGTGAAGTTCTTGTGTGTCGCATAAGCCATGAACAGTCGAATGGCTTCAATGCGTGCTACTGGAGCGAACGTCTCATTGTAATCAATACCTTCTTGTTGATTGTAGTCTTTCGCAACTAATCGGGCCTTGTTGCGAATTACAATCCCGTCTTCATCCTTCTTGTTCTTAAATATCCACTTTGTGCCTATGATTGATTTACCAGGGGGCCGAGGCACAAGTGACCAGACTTTCAGTCTCTCAAACTGATTGATTTCTTCTTGCGTGGCGATTATCCAATCAGGATCAGCTAACACTTCTGTGACATGAGTAGGCTCAGTTTGACTTAGGAAACAGGAAAACAGACATTCATTCTCGGTGGCAGATCGTGTGCACACTCTACTTGAAGGATTTCCAAGTATGAGATCAGGTGGATGAGCACGTGTCCATTTTCTAACATGAGGGAGTGGTTGAGCATTATTGTTGGGTTCCTCATCAACATAAGGGTTATCATCATGAGGAACAGATGAAGATGTAGGATCAGTGGGCGGAGGTGTTGAAGAATCAATCTCAGCTGGGGTAGCAGAAGATGATGTAGGAACAGACGTTGCAGCTGATGATGTAGTAGTGGGTGGAGAAGATGGATCGTGTGGTTGTGGATTCTCGTAAATTTGGTCAAACAGGTGATCAAGATCCATGGAGTTGGAATCAGGTGAGGGAGATGAGGCGGGTAGTTGTGCTAGAACGCCAGTGATATCGGGTTCTGAATTGATGTGTCCAGAAGCCTGTTCTTCTTTCTCGTCAAAGGTCACATTGATGCTTTCAATGACCTTCTTTTTGTCTCTGACGTACACTCTATAAGCTTTGGATGACGAAGAATAGCGAATGAACAAGCCTTCTATTGCTTTTGGATCGAACTTACCTCGTTCTTCCCTATCATTCATGATGAAGCACTTGCATCCAAACACTCTTAGAAAAGAAACACTGGGAATTCGGCGGTTGATCAGCTCATATGGTGTCTTTCCAAACCTTTTGTGAATAGAGGTCATGTTCTGAGTGAAGCAAGCAGTGTTGATAGCTTCATCCCAGAGAGAATGTGGAAGTTTGGAATGGATTAGCATGGTTCTTGCAACTTCAACAAGAGTTCTGTTCTTTCTTTCAACCACCCCGTTCTGCTGTGGGGTCTTTGCTGCAGAGAATTGCTGAATGATGCCTTGAGTCTCATAGAATTCACTGAGTTTCTGATTCCTTAACTCAGTGCCGTTGTCAGATCGTATGAAGAGAATTGTTGCTTGTAGAAGATTCTGTGTTGTTCGGATGAAGGTGATGATGATGTCAGTTGTCTCGTCTTTGGAATGAAGGAACCAGATCCATGTGTATCGTGAGTAGTCATCTACTATTACTAGTACATACTTCTTCCCATTGATACTTTGTGTTCGCATGGGCTCACAAAGATCCATGTGAATCAATTCAAGAGGACGTGTAGTAGATGCTGTCATTTTCGCCTTGTGAGAAGCTCTTTTCATTTTTCCAAGTGCGCAAGAATCGCACAGATGTTCACATTTGCTTTGTAGTGTTGGTAGACCAATAACAAGCTTCTTTGATGACAATGTGTGCAGATCACGGTAGTTCAGATGAGACATCCTCTTATGCCAAAGTTGATTTAGTTCAGAGGACACCCTTGACAGCAGGTAGACATCTGTATTGGGAAACACTGTTTTCAGCACAATGGTGTAGAGACCAGATTTGCGTCTACACCTTAGAATGGTGTTTCCTTGTTCATCCTTCACACAACACTTGTTAGCCCGGAATATGACTTTCATGCCCTTGTCGCAGAATTGTCCGATGCTAAACAAGTTGTGTGTTAACCCGGCAACATAGGAAACGTCTTTAATAGTGACTCTGCTGTTGCAGATATCTCCAAATCCAAGAATAGGAGCAGAGTCACTGTTTCCAAATCTAACTTTCCCACCAAACTTGTCAACGTAGTTGCTCAACAGCTCTTTCTTCCCAGTCATGTGTGTGGAGCAACCTGAATCTAAGTACCACACATGATTGACCTGCAGAATTAAGCAGCCTTAGGTACCCATTTAAGGACGGGTCCATCCTTTTTATGTGAAGAAAGAATTGAATCAGTTTTAATTGGATCACGTTTAGGAACCCAGACTTGCTTGACTTTATGAAATTTATTTGAATAGTTCTGGAATTGTGAGTGGGATGCTTCAGAATTAGTGAAAAATTTCTCTTTTTCCAATCTTTTGAGATGTTTAACAGAATACACTTTGAGAGGATAATTCAGACATTTACCATTCACATATGAGAAAGTAACACAATCATTATTAGCATTCACATCACACACATCATGTTTTGAAAAAGGAGAAGGATTAAATTGACCATGCTTAAAACAGTCACTTGAAATAGAATCCACAGAGATAGAGTGAGAAGAGGAAAGCTTTGGAGAACTAAGAGAAGCAGAAACAATGGAACTAGATGGAGAATGAGAACGAAAACAATTTCTAAATCTATTACAAGACTTTTCCATAAAAGTAAAGATTTTAGAAATCTTCTTTGTCTGCTCAGGTCTTGGATCCTCGCTTGACTTCTTCTTTGGAACCTAGGGCATCCTTCCTGCATTGGATTTTGAGAAAACTTTTCATGTTTGTGGAGCAGAAAATAAGTTCCTTTTCTTTTCAAAACTGTTGTTCTTTCCATGATCATAAGAAAAAGATGTCTTAGAAGATTTTGAGCTTTGAGAGGATCCATCAGACAATTCAGAAATTTTCTTTAATAGATTTTCTTTTTCAAGTTTAAATTTTTCACGTTCCTCTTCAAACGATGAGTGAAGGTCAGCTAATTTCTTAATAAGAGGAGGAACGTAGGGTTCAGAAACTTTTGAGGTTGAGGCTTCTTCCTCACTGGACATGTTATGATTCTCATGAGGAGAATGGGTAAGATAGTCATTTGAAAAAGGAATTTCTCTAGTGGCATATCTGTTATTGAGAGCAGTATAATCATAACTAATCTCAGCTTTAGCCCTATTTTTCCTTTTCTCCTCTTCTTCCTCAATAGTTTCAGAAGCATTAGTGAATTTCATAAGTTTGGTTAACCCTAATTTCATGTATCTTATGCCGTAAAGCTGAATGCAATCGACCTTTTTCAGATTTTCAGGATTTCGAAAGCCTAATCCTTCTCTGGGGTTGTAAAACTGAGTATCCTTGATTTTGTTATTCAAAAGATGAATTGTCTGTTCGGTTTGACCATTTTTGGCTAGGATATCCTCTAACTCTTTTATCTTAGAGTAAAGTTGACCTCGTTCTTTGTTAATCATATCATAGCGAATAACAGCTTCAGAACGTTGTCGTTTATTCTCATCACGTTCCTTAGTTATGTCACTAATAGTTTGCTTAAGCTTAGTTACTTCTGACTCTAACTGGAAAACTCTATCACGTGAATCTTTTAAGCGAGCAGTTTCAAATGCTCCTTCCAACGCTTGTTTTTCCAGAACTTTTTTATTATTAGCAAGTCTGTCTTCAAGTTCCTTTATTTTGTTTCTCTCTCTTTTAAGAGAAGTGATTAACTCTTTCATCTTGTCATTTTGTTGAGAAATTAAAGATTTTAAGTTACTTACCTCATTCTCAGCAGATGTAGCACCATTATCTTCTTCTTCAGAGTCATCACTTTCAGTTCCGGGTTCAGTTACCCTTGCCATCAGTGCCAAATTCTCTATCTCACTATCTTCAGAATCTTCGAGCCAGCTATCATGTTCAGCCATCAGGACAACTCCTAGCTCCTTTTGTTTAGCAAGTTGAGCCTTCTGCATATAGT